TCCAGTCACCAGTGTGAGAGAGAAGGGTGCTGGCAACAGGATCTGGCCAGAAGAGGAGATGACCTATGTGCAGTTGGGCTCTGGACATGGCGCTGTCTTTAGCAGGTTGGCCAGCTTGGCCTCCCCTTCTTCTGCTGGACTGGGAGTAGGCTGGGGAGGGGGAACAGAAGCCCCTCTTAAGCTGTGGTTGCCATGGTGCTGAGGGACTCATTCCCGGGGCTGGCTGGGACCCCCTGAACCCTTCTTGGGAGAAAACTGGAACCAACCCTGGCCTACCTCCCTGCACTAACCAGCTTTGAGGATGGCACTGAAGAGCCTGGGAGGAAATGCACCTCCCCTGTGACTCCCACATCAACCATTAAAGTTATTTAACAGCAGCCCTCACCTGCTTCTTGAGGACAGATCGCCTCTCTGCTTGGTCTGGACTTGCCCCATGCCCTCATCCCTGGAGCTTAGCTCACCCCCTATGAAGTATGAGTGTGATACTGAGTAATCAGACAAGGGCTGGGTGGAGGGGGTACTTTATAAATACCACAGGGGGGAAGGAGGGCTGCTCTTCTCTCACATGCTGCTGAATCTCAGGATCTCAGCAAGATCATAGCCAGTCACAGCAAAGGAGCTGCCTGAGGGATCACAGAAGCGGGCACCACACACCTGGGTGTCGGGTACACATTCACCATGACAGTGTTCCACCTGGGAGAGAAGAGGGCTGCTCAGGGCCTGCTGCCCCATGCTTGGGCTCCCCATTCCACTCCCCTCACCACACACACCTCAATGGAGACACTCTCTGGGCTTCTGCTCAGCTTCCAGATGTGCACAAAGGTATCCTCAGCTGCAGAAAGCAGCTGTAAAAAAAAGGCAGGGAGGACAAGGGGGAGTTGGAACGTGCTGACAGGGGACTGGTATAGGCTGGGGTGCAGGGTCCAGGGGCTACACTGAGTGGCGAAGACAAGCCTGTGGAGTTCCTCTCAACATTCCAGCACCAGGAACAAGGGTATGGAGGGATGGAGGAGGAGACTAACCTTGCCCACCTCAGGAGCTAGGTCCAGGGCACAGATGGCCCGAGCGTGGGCGTTGATCTGGACATGTAGCGTTCCTGTACTGGCCTCATACAGACGCACTTGCCCGTTTCCATAGCCTGCTGCTACGGTCCCCTGCCACAGCTGCACAGAAGGGCACGGGACCCTGCAAGGGCAATACCCCACAGTGATTTCCCAGACCGAAGCCCACTTCCCACCCTGCGGCTACCTCAGGAAGGCCTCGGCCCCCTTCCACCTCACCTACCCGAATCCTGGAATTCGGGTCAATAATTTGAATTCAGGCCCTGACCGCCAGACACACAGCAAGCCTGAGTCATCTGCCGTCACCATGTCAGCCACACAGTCCTGAGGGGAAAGGCAGGATCAGCCCTTGCCTTTCTCCTCTGCTGGGTCCTGTACACTGATCTTCCTCAACTCACGATGGGGTTATGTCCTGATAAACCCATTGTAAGCCGAAAACATCAAGTCGAAATACATTTTACAGGCTTAAGATACCGAACATCATAGCTTAGCCTAGCCTACTTTGAACCTGCTTAGAACACTTACATTACCCTACAGTTGGACAAAATCATCAACAGAAAGCCTGTTTTATAATGAAGTGTTCAATAGCTCATGTAATTTATTGAATACTGTACTGAAAGTGAAAACCAGAATGGTCGTATGGGTACAGAATGGTTGTAAGGGGGTCATTGACCCTCATGAGCACGTGGCTGACTGGGAGCTGCGGCTTGCTGCCCCTGCTGCCCAGCATCGTGAGGGACGTGAGAACTGCATATCGCCAGCACAGGAAAAGATCAAAACTCAAAATTTGAAGTACGGTTTCTACTGAATGTGTGTGGCTTTTGCACCATTGTAAAGTCGAAAAATCATGACGTCACACCATCCTAAGTTGGGGATTGTCTGTACAGGGCAGGAGGGGGACGGAGGCAGTATTTGCATCTTTGCCTCCAGGGAAGGGCAGATGTGGAGCCCTCACTAGCTGAACCCAGGGTTCCCTCAGCAAGCATAAAATGTTGAAAATGCTTTCCTTACACTCCTTATAGAGTCTCCCCTGACCCCTGTCCCACACCACGTGTTCAGAGGGGGTATATAATTGTCCTCACTGCATGGATGACCAAATAGAGGCCATAGTGTTATGACCTGGAGGTCTTGCAGTGAGCCAGTCCTAGTGCTAACTAGACTCTGGGCCTCTTGACAACCCCCAACCCAGGCAGCCAGCATAGCCCATGGGCCCAGCTCAGTGCCAGGTGCAGTGGAAGATATGAATGAGAAGATACGTACCTTCTCAAGAGATGTGCAATCCAAACGGGGAGACAAAAGTTGGCTTTGAATTGGGCAGTATCAATTCAGGGTTCAGCTAAGGGAGATCAGTGGGAGCTGGAATAGGGGGAAGGCTTCCTGGAGAGGGTGGCGCTGCAGGTGGGCCTGAATAGGTAGGACTTGCCAAAGTCCAGAGAAGGAAGCTGCACATGTCAGAGCTGGAAAGCATCTTAGTAAACCATCTGTCCCAACTCTTCCATTCCCACCACTATTGAAAAGTGTTAGTGAACTACTGTTAAATGCCAGGTAAATGCAAAGAATCTCGGGCTTCATCACTGGACCTGAGGTTGCTGAAGCCTAGCCTAGCAAAGTGCAGCACTTTGCCCAAAGTCATCCAGCTGCTTAGTGGTAGAGCCAAGACTTGAACCCAGGTCCCCTGCCTCCCAAGGTGGGGAAGGCTCGAAGGCTCCCAGGCTCCCAGGAACAGGTAGGGGGAACCCACTCACCTGTCCCTGGGTAGGCTCGGTGGCAATGTCTGTGATTGGTGTCTGGTGCCCAGCCAGCTCTTCGCTCAGTACAATGTTTGGACCCTTGGCTGGGATGTCGAACACCAGCACCCGGCCTGACCACGTTCCTGCAGAACCAGTGCCCCACTGATGGCTTCCTGATCCTCCTGAGTCTCCAGCCGCCACACTCAGCACTCCCTCCATCCCAGAAACCTTAGTAACCAACCACCCCTCACAGCTCCAAAGGCCCTCCCCTTCCATTCACTACCCTTATTCTATCCCATCCTGCCCCTCTGAAACCCTCCATGGCTTTCTGGAGTCTCTCAGAACCCCCTTCACTCCCACCCTTCCTTGTCACCCTCCACAGTTTCCTCAGACCTTCAGCAAGCTCCTGGCCAAAGTCCACACCCCTGAACCCCAGCACCCCCAATGCCCTGCTCTTGGTCCCCTCACCCACACAGATGAAGTGGCCACTGGCAGCAATTCCTCGGGCAAACACAGCCTGTACTGAGTAGGAAACGAGAAAACTATTAGAAATAGCACCTCCCCCCACCCCAGCAAACACTCACTCCCCCTACCCCACTTAGTCCTGCAGGTACCCGGAGAGGCATCCCCAGAGTCCAGTGCGTGCCAATAGACCATGATGGAGCCATCAGACTCAAACATCTGGAAGACAAAAGCAAGGATGGGGTCACAACCCAGCTGACTTTTGCTGAGCTCTGTGCTGAGTACTTCACATACTCATGCTAGCCCTAGTCCGTTGGATCCTCAAAACAACTCCAGGAGGTAGGCACTACTTTTATCCCCATTTTACAGAGGAGGACACTGAGGCTCTGAGAAGTTACCTTAATTGTCCAAGGTCATACAGCTAGTAAAGGGGGAGATATTGGAGAGGGTACTTGGGAATTGGAAAAGATGAAAGGAATGAAAATGAGAAATAAGGAAGAGTGTGGTAAGCATGTGAAAAGTTTGGAAGTGTTTAGAAGCAATTGGGGAAGCCTCGGGGGGCCTTGGAGAGCAGATGAGAAGACTCTAGTGGGGCAGGGCAGGAAGGTCCTCCTCTTACCTGTATTCCTCGATGTGAGGTGAGTACCAGCAATACTCGGAAGGGGAGGACACACCAGTGGACCTGGAGGGAGGCGGATGGGAGTAGGGGGAAGTGGTCAGAGCAGGGGACATGAGGACTCAGAAGAGTGGAAATTAAGAGTTAGGGAAGGCCTGTTCCTTGAGGTTTGGAGAGGACAGAGGTTAGGACTGGGTTCAGCAACACCACTCCCAACTCCGTGCCTCACCTGAGTGATAAGTGGGGGACTCACTCCAGCTCCCTCCTTAGCGTGGAGCTGGCGCTGGGCCAAGGGCAAACCCTCAGGAGCAAAGCTGAGAAGCTGGGCGCTGGGTCCATGGACTACCCCAAAATGTGTGAGGTTGCGGACGGGTAGCTGCAGCACACTGAGGTTGTTGCACAGGGCGGCAGCTGAGCCTCGAAGGGGGATGGAGCGCTCCCGGCGGAACATCCTAGGGGAGAGACGCCCGAATCACGAGGCGCGCGGGAAACAGAAGACAGCAGAGTTCCTGTGGGGGGTGGGGGTGCTGTCATGAAGCCCTGGGGAAGACTCCTAAGACTGGGTCATGATGTGATGGGGGACCCCGAGGACGGTGATGGGGGGGTCACATGCATGGGGACGGTCTCTTGGAGCAAGAGAGGGGAGCCCCAGGGCTCAGTCATAGGGCGACGGGGGAATCCCAGAGCAGGAATGGTGATGGCGGGGGACCCAGTGGTCCCAAACGCCCGAGCCAAGGCAGGATGAGGCAGGGTAGTCCCCAGCCCCTTCCGCCCTCGGCTCAGCTCCCCCAAGCCCCCGGCCCGGGTCAGAGGCCACACCAGCAGCCCCAGGTCCGCTTGCCTGGCTCCAGGGTCCTTGGATCCCTCCGAATCCGCCGCCACCATAGAGACGACGCACGTACGCACGACTGTTGGGCGGGGCAACTATCGCGAACGTGCCGCGAGCGGCACGGTTGCTAGGGCAACTGTGGGCGGGGCGGGCCGCCCCGCGCCGGCGCGGTTGCTCGGGCGACCTTTAGGCGGCAGTGGCCGCCGCAGCGAAGCGGGTGGGAGCTTCCGAAACCCAGGGTTGGAGTGACAGCTGCGGCGATGGCTCACGAAGGCTCGGTGAGCTTCCAATCAGCTGGGGGTGCGCCAGAGCGGGATCGGCCGTTAAGGTTGGCGTCGGGATCCGTGGGCCAGCTCCTTGCCACCTGGCGCCCACCCGCCACGCGGGCGTTCAAGATGACAAGGAAGCCACGTCGGTACTTGGGCAGAAAACTTTCACCTGCACTACGCCCACTCCCGCGCTTTGTCACACTCGGAACCTGAGGGAAAGGGTCAAATGGGTGGTGCAGAGTCCACAAGAAAATGACTTTGGAAACAGCTAATGTGTGTAATAAGTCTCGTACATTGAGGTTCCCATTTAAATAGATAAACCAGAATTGGTCAGGCATTAGGGATAGGCGTTGCTAAATTACCCATTTTGAGAATTTCAGGAGGAAGAAATAGATTAAACAACTCTGAGGCTGCACTTGAAAGTCAAACTGTTTAAAAGCCAAAACATTTAAAAAAATAAAACAGATTTGAAGAGACTTTGTGCAACAATATCTCTGGCCAGGCCGCGTCTAGGTACGGTCACTATCACGGGTGTCACATGAGAGGCTGGGACGGGAAAGTATACTCCTCTCTCAGCCTTACCTGCTCTGCTCTGGCCAAGCCTGGACTGGGCCGTTGGCCATTCCCTGGGCTTGCCAGAGAGGGGAAATGAGGCTTAAGGGGTCTTGAATTCAGTGTGAGGTTTAGGAAACACCAGATTTGGGGAAGAATGAATTTTGGGGAACATCAAGTATGAGGCAATAAGGTTAGGGGTGGGGAGGCAAAGGTTTGGGAAGATTGTGTTTGCAGGTAAATTTTGGAAGGAATCAGGGAGACTGTTGTGGGGAAGTGAAGAGGCTCCTAAGAATCTGTTAGTAAATTCCTATGTTCCTAAAATGAATATTTGGGACTAGTCTTTTTCTTTTTAAGTGGATTTTTCTTGATTATTAAAGGATACAAACTCATTGTAGAGAACTTATAAAATTGAGAAGAGCATATGAAAGAAACATACCCACTGTTACAATTTTGGTGTTTTCCTCTTCTTCAACACATACTGGTTTGCATATCTGTGATAATATTTGATATGTAATTTTGTATCCTATCTCTCTCATTTAACATTACATGATAAGTATTTTTCTATGCGATTGCAAATTCTTTCTAAAGATTACCTTAATCATTGTATAATATTCCATCATATAGATAGTGCACAATTAGCCATCTATTCTCTTGTTATTAAATGTGTTTTCAATATTCTATTATAAATGACACCACGAGGAATATGTTGGAGAATATATTTTTATTTTCATTTCAGAGAACCTTTGAGTGTATTTGTAAAAATGGAATTGATATTTTTGAAGGTTGGACATCTTTTCAAATGTTTGTCATCTATAGTTCCACTTGTGTGAAATGTGAGGTCTTTTGCTTATTATCCTTGGGGTCTTATGATTTTCCTTATTTTGTACGAATTTTTAATATATTTGAGGATATTTATTCTTTTTTATATTTGTCGAAAATATTTTTTGAGCAGCAGGATAAAGTCAGGCTCTGGAGTCAGACCTGAATATGCATTATGACTCCACTAGTACTTCCTTGCTGGGTGATCCTGGGCAAATTCTGTAAAATGGGGACAAAAATATTATGGAGTCTAAAAAATGTATGAATTGAATCAATGTATGTGACTGACATACTTGAAGTGCCAGAAAATTGTAACTACTAATATCAGCTTGTAATTAGGAACTTTTTAAAAATAAGTACAGGAAAACTTGACCTACATATGTACACCTATCTACTTATTTCTTTGTTATTTCTCACATTACTTTTATGTTTAGGCAGTTCTTTCTCACTGAGAGATTATATGACAATTTAACCTATTTTCCCTACATTTTATTTTTTGTTTATATTTTTGTTTCATTTGTGTGTGTGTTTATCCTTTAATCCATCTGGAGTTTATTTGTATGAATATTGTGAAATGAGGATCTAAGTTGATTTGGGGCAGGTATGGAGACTCTAAACAGCACCCATAATTCCAGCACCATTTATCGACTCGTCTTTCTCAAGTTCTTTGAGCTCTCAGGACTTTGAATTAGTGCAAATAGCAAGGACTGTGAAGTTAGAGCTACATATAGCCTGGGTTTACTGTGTGATCCCAAGCAAGTGATGGTTAACATGTGTTTGTTTCTTTGTCTGTAAAATGGACTTGGTGAGCTGTTATGAAAATTAAATTAGCTAAGCCAGTCACCTAAAAAGCATCTGTCGCATAGTAGGCTTTTAGTAAATTGTCCCTTTCAAAAGGCTTTTCCTTCCTGCTGGACAACTTGAGAAAGCTTCCTCCAAGCCTATAGCTTCTTCTTTGTTCCACTCCTCAGTTTCCTGCCCTGATTGCCCTGTTCCTTTCCCACAGAGGCAGGAAAGGCAGATCCGAGACCGTGGGGTGACCCGATCCAAGGCGGAAAAGGTCCGGCCGCCTACTGTGCAGGTACCTCAGGTGGACATCGTACCTGGGCGGCTCACTGAGGCTGAGTGGATGGCGTTTACGGCTCTCGAGGAGGGCGAGGACGTGGTTGGGGATATCTTGGCCGATCTGCTCGCGAGAGTCATGGACTCTGCTTTCAAAGTCTACCTGACCCAGCAGGTGGGCCTGGATCCGGTCTGCCAGACCCATCTCCCCCCTCTCCAACCCCTCCCTACCGGGCTAAGACCCTCTCTTGCCCCGCAGTGCATTCCGTTCACCATCAGTCAGGCGCGGGAGGCCATGCTGCACATCACCGAGTGGCGCTTCCTGGCCCGGGATGAGGGAGAATCTGCAGTGGCCGAGGACCCCACGTGGGGCGAGGATGAGGAGCCCTCGGCATGCACGACGGACGCCTGGGCTCAGGGATCCGTGCCTGTGCTGCACGCTCCTGCTTCGGTGGGGCTGGAGGAGACCTTCCAAGGCGAAGTAAGCCCAGCCCCCAGCTCTCTCCGAAGCCCCCCCATCCCCCTCCTCACCCCCTCGCCGCGTCTTCCTTGTTCTCAGGGCCTTTCTGGACTCTTCCACCATTAGTTCCTCTCTCCCCTTTCCGATGTCTCACTACCCACCTCTCACTCTGGCTGCATTTCCCCAGGACCAAGGGAGCGTGGACCAGATCCCTATAGGAAGATCGTGGATGGATAGAGGATCACAGGAGCAGATGGAATCTTGGGAGGGTTCTCCCGAGCTGAGAGTCATCCCAGGTCCAGGCCCGCCACCCACCCCGGAGCTGTTTCAGGAGGCAGGGCCCAGGGGTCCTTTAGAGGAACTGGATGGCCAGGCAATAGGCCACCTGTCCTCGGCTGGGTCCTTGAACGGGAACCTCCAGCCCTCAGTGGAGACGGCGCACACCGGCAGTCCCCATTCTTCTCTGGAGCTGTCCTTGGTAGCCAGCCCCGAGGCCTCAGCCGAGAGGGCACAGGCCCTCAGCTCTCAGTTCTCGCTCGAGGACCTCTACTATTGCACGCCCCAGCTGCACGCTGCTGGGGACCGGCCGGAGCTCAAGAAGGAGGAGATGCCCCGCATCGCCTCGCCAGTGTCAGTGGCCAGCTCCTCTGCGGGTGGCTCCACCATGCTCAGGCTCTCCGCGTCGTTCCAGCCTCAGCAGCAGCCGGGGCGCCCAGAGGCAGGGCTGAGCGCACCTCAGTACATGGTGGGCCGCAGGATGGTGGGGGCGCGCCTGGATCCCGCGCGGCTGCCGCGCCTCTGGGTGAGCCCGCTGGCCAAGGTCCTGCTTCCAGACTCCGAGGCGCGCCCCGTGGAAGCCTATCGCGGACGCCCGCGCGGCGAGAAGACCGAGGCCCCAGCCGGAGCCGGAACCCCCCGCACCGGCGTCCGCGTCTCCTCTGCAGTTTTCTTACCTCTCCCGCCTGGCGTTCCGTCCCGTGACTTCGGCCCTGACCCCCGCCCCGGCCTCCAAATCCCCAGTTTAAGCTTAGGTCTACCGTCGCCAGGCTCCGGGTCAAAGCTGCCCTTTCCTAGTCCCGGCCTCCGCTTTCTCGCCACGCACCCAGTGCTCCCCGACGTGGCCCGCAACCCCAGCCCCAAACTGTGGCCGGGTACCAAGTGGCCCAGTGGCTGGGATGGAGAGGTGGAGTTACTGGAAGACCTGTGGGCCGGCCGCGCCCGTGTATCTCCACAGGGCGTACCTCCACAAGGCCTGGATCCTCACAAGTGGCCTCATCCTGAGCCCCAAGTCCTCGAGGCCACGTCCCAGGTGATGTGGAAGCCCATGTTGCTGCCAGAAGCAATGAAACTGGCTCCTGGTGTGAGCATGTGGAACCCAACCACCCAGGTGCTGCTCAGCTCTGCCATACCCCAGCAGGAGGACAAAGGCCAAGCCTCTCCTCCCATTGAGCAGCAGCCCATCCAGACAGGTGCCCCGAAGCCTCAGGTGATGGTGGCGCAGCTAATGAAGAACTCAACCCCCAAAGTGAGGTCACTCCCTTCCAAGTACCTGCCTCATTCTGGGTCCTGAACCCCTGGCAGCAGGAATCCTACCTTCCTTCTGTCTGCTTGCCAGAAATAAACATCTGAGTTGCTTTAAGAATTGGCCCAATGTCTCTGTCCGTTTCACCCAAAGCTGTGTACTCTCAGTGAACTGGGGAGGAGCAGTTGTCCTACAGGCCTGGAAGAACATAGAACACTGGCTCCAGGAAATAACCCCATTACCACCCTTAGGAGACCCTGCTTTAGGACGGAGGCTTCGCCCCAGCAGTGGCATTCTGGAGAACCATGCACCTCCCCGCAAAGGACAGACAAGGGCTGCAGTGGAGTCTGCCTCAGCTGGAGAGGTGGAGGAAGCGCATGGCCCTGCTTAAGCACAGAGTGACTCAAGACATGAGGAGTTTGATCTCTTGCTTCTCCAGTCCCTGGAGCTCTGTCAATCACCCTTAGAGTGCAAATAGATGAATTAGAGGCTGTGCAGGGCTCAGGGAAGCCCTGATCTTTTGATATTTGATTTGGACCTTTGACCGGGGTGAGGCAATCAAGTGGCTTGGGCACGCAATTTAAGAGGGAACTCACTTTCAGGTTCAAACAGGGTGCTTGAACAGATCCAAGAGTATTTACCTCCTTAAATTTCATGTCTTAAGCTCCACACCAGCCTCACTGCTAATCCCCACACAGCTTTGCTTAGCCCTTCTCCACCCTCACCCTACTGCAGCACTTCCAGTGGCAGCCAGCAGTCTCTGCTATGTTGCTGTGGTCTCTACTCAGCACCCTGGTCTGGGGTCCTGGCTCTGTCCTTATTCTAGTCCTCCTGCTTAGACTATGTGTGAGGCTCTGGCATAAGTCTCACCTATGGGACCTCCAGCACTGCTCCACAGATCTGACTGGGAAGACAGCAGTGGTGACTGGGGCCAACAGTGGTGAGTGCTCCTTCCACCTTGTCACCTCACTAGGGGCCTCAGCCTTCAAAAGCCTCAAAGGGGAGGGCAGGGAAGAGGACTAGCACCCACTGTCAGCACCCTTGTCCCTCCCCTTGCTCCATTGCCCTCCAGTCACTGCCCAGACTAGCCTGCTCTGAAGCTGCCCTCCTACAGGCATTGGGAAGGTTGTGGCCCAGGAGCTGGCCCGCCGAGGGGCCCATGTGATCCTTGCCTGCCGTAGCTTCAAACGTGGAAAGCAAGCCCTGGCCGAGATCCAAGCAGCCTTACGGTGCAACCACCTCCTTCTTGGTGAGGTGGACCTGAGCTCTATGGCGTCCATCCGGGGCTTTGCCCGTTGGCTTCTGCAGGAGTACCCTGAGATACATCTGCTTGTTAACAATGCTGCAGTCTGTGGTAGGTACCTTCACTTTCTTCCCCCGAACACATTTCAGGAGCCTCCTTTCCAGCTCAGGGAACCCAAAGCAGGCATCTCCAAAGCCTAACCTGTGCATCCTGCTGAAACTCTCTAATTCACACACTACCCTAAAAAGGCCACCTTAAGTTATAGCCTCAAACTTCATTACCCCATCTTTTTTTTTTTTAATTTTTAATTTTTTCCTTTTTCTCCCCAAAGCCCCCCAGTACATAGTTGTATATTCTTCGTTGTGGATCCTTCTAGTTGTGGCATGTGGGACGCTGCCTCAGCGTGGTCTGATGAGCAGTGCCATGTCCGCGCCCAGGATTCGAACTAACGAAACACTGGGCAGCCTGCAGCGGAGCGCGTGAACTTAACCACTCGGCCACGGGGCCAGCCCCTCATTGCCCCTATCTTTGTGCATACATGCTCCTGTGGCATTTCTACTGAATCCCAATACGTCCCCCCTCCACCCCCGCAGACTTTGTTTCCCATAGGGTAGTCCCTCCATCACAATCTGTGTTGTCATCTCTTCCCAGGATTCCCCACGACACTTACCCCAGAGGGCCTTGATCTCACCTTTGCCACCAACTATATTGGGCCCTTTTTGCTCACAAATCTACTCAAAGGTAAGGAAGGATGAATGTCTACCTTCTGTGCTGCCCCCACTTCTCCATACCGCTGACATTTTCGTGGCTTCCTCTCTCCCATGGCCACCACCTTCCCTTTGGCACCTAGTTGCTTGCTGAGCAATGATGACCTAGTCTGCTTTTGCTGCGCACAGCAGGGGAACCCACCCGGCACAAGTCAGGAATAGGAGGCTGGTAATGGAATCAGTCAGCCCAAAATACAGCCAGCAAGGGGATCTAAGATTCCCCTCCCTCCTTCCCCCAGCTCCAAGTTCTAGCCAGATCAGTAGAGTCAGTCATCTCAACAAATACTTCTCAAGGGCGGCACTGGGCCATTAGGAACATAGAGAACAAGAAGACTGACTTCCTGCTCTCAGAGAGTTCAGGATCCACCACGGATGTAGGATGAACACACCACTGCCTGGGGCCCAAGTCCTTTGGATTTCTGATTTTTTAATCTTTTCTGAGGAAGGAAGTTTGGGTTCTTCCTGGGGGGTGGGTGGGGGTGGAGTGGGTGGCAGGCACCTTCTTCCTAACATTTTCTCCTGGATTGTGTAATAGCCTCTTTAAAAGAAAATCGATTTTTTTTGTTAGGTAATACATCCAAAGTACAAAATTGAAAGTATACAAAAAGCCAATACAGTTAAAAAAAAAAAAAAAAAAAAAAAAAAAAGGTCTCCTCTCCTTGAAAATCAGCTACTCAGTCAGCTCCTGGGAGGCAACTATGTTGCTAGGATCTCGTGTAACCTTTGGGGGAAGATTAAATTAGCCTCAATTGGGAACTGAACAAAGAGCAGGCAAAACTCTATGCATTGGCAAGTCTGAATGCTTGTTCCCCTTCCCCAAAATTGTAACAGGCTGCAACCCCTGTCTGTATCTTGTGTAGTAATAGTTTCTTAAACTGTCTTTTCCAGGCTGGCCAGCGTAGTGCTTAAGTTCATGCTTTGGCGGCCCAGGGTTTGCTGGTTCAGATCTTGGGCGTGAACCTATGCGCCACTTACCAAGCCGTGCTTTGGCAGGAATCCCACATATAAAGTAGAGGAAGGTAGGCACAGTTGTTGGCTCAGGGCCTCTCTTCCTCAGCAAAAAAAAAAAAAGAGGATCGGCAGCTGATGTTAGCTCAGGGCTAATCTTCCTCCAAAAAAAAAAGGTCTTTTCTCCTGTTTCCCCTCCTCTATCTATTCTCCCTTCTGCCACTTCTAGAAATCACCTTTTACCATATCACTTTCTTGCTTAAAATCCTTTGAAGGTGCTCTACCCATTACAGGATAAACTCTAAGTCCCTTCTCTCCACTTACTAGACCCCCTGCTGACTGAGAGCCTCATCCTTTGCCCTTCCTGAAGCCACACCCTCTTCTCTAGCCAGACAATCGGTAGCTCTTGGACCATGCTCTGTCTTTTTCCTCTGGCTTTGCTTCTGCACATGTAGTTCCCTCTATCTGGAGTATCCTTTCCCACCTCCTTAGCCTGGCTAACTTTACTTCATCTGCCAAGACTCAGCACAGACACCGCATGCTGTGGCTCCTGCCCTGACATCTATGCCTTCCCCAGCTGGACCCATGTAAGGGGCTTCCTTAGCCCCTTGTACACATCTCTGTTCTCACACTGACACTGCTCCATGAGGACCAGTCTCCAACTAGGCTGTGAGCCCCTTTGGTCTTTATGTCACTGTGTCTCCAAGTTTGGGGTCCGTTGTCCTCTTTAAGAATACTTTTCTCTCCAGCAAATTTTGGCTAAATACTACCTGCTCAGTTTTTCCTTTGTGATTCTTAATTTAAATATAGGGCTTAAAACAGTTTTATCAGTTTGAAAACCATACTGTAAATTCATGTGACAACTACTACTTTTTCACACTTCATATAATCCAGACTTTTCCTATAGTTGGGTACTTTTTTTCTTTCTTAAGATTGAACTTGTTCTACTGATTGTAATTTTATTTTTATTCCCTTGGAAGATAGTTTTTTTTTTTGTAAAAAAAAAAAAACAACCACTTTCCCAAGTATCTCTGCATACATTTCTTTTCCTGCAAACCTAGCTAGCATCTTTATGTCCTTAGCACCTGTCTTGATATCTGCCATAATCCAGGGGCTTAGTGAAAATTTGTGGGGTGAACAAGTAAATGAGTGAATGAATGAATCCTTGAAAGACAGCTTTCACAGTGTCTCCAGCCTCTCCTTCCAGTTTTAGCCATCACTGAGGTAAAAACACAAACAAGGATCAATTAAATTCGCTCCGACTGGCAAGTAGAAGAAAAGCAAGATAAAGCTGCCAACACTAAAATAAAAGAGGAGGAAGAGCATTGGGAAAGCATCTAATGAAAATGAAGTCTCCGTTCACATTAAGCTGTCCTGTGCCTAGCCTAGGTGTCTGGTTGGGGGGCCCACTGACCCTCTTCTGAGAGCCCTGGGTGGACCCTGCTGTCCTGGAGTCTCCTGGAGGGGCAGGCTGGGGAGTGGCTATGAGAGTTTACCCCAGGACTTGGATTGAAGGAGTGTGGTTCTCTCTCCACACAGGGGCCCTCCAACGGGCAGGGTCAGCCCGGGTGGTGAATGTGTCTTCCTTTCAGCAAACACGTGGGTACATTGATGAGGGGCATCTGACAGGGGCTGGTGGACCTCTGACCTTCAACCAGAACTATAACTGCAGCAAACTGCTTTTGACCTCATTCACTGGGGAGCTTGCCCGGAGACTTCAAGGAACAGGTAACTGCCTCTGACACCCCCTACTCCTCCATTCCCAACCTTTCACATCTCCTCCCAACATGTCCTGGCCATAAAATACTCCCAATACCCCCCAAGCCAGCTGGAAATCTCCTCCATTTATTGTCTGTGCACCGTATATTTCTCTCAACCCCGTCTTCACATCTACTTTTCAACCTTTTCCAATTCTCCTATCACCCACAACATCCCTCTCCTCCTAGTATTTTCCAATATCAACACCATCTGTTACATTCCTCCTAAAGTTCACCCAACACTTTAAAATACTTATATCTGCCTACTGGCTTGGACACCACCATTCATGTAAGTTACAGAGCACTGGCTGCCCTGGCACCACTCCCTAGTCTCTGATCACCTCTACCCAACAGCCCTGGTAGGATGCTCCCCTCATTGCACATTGTAGAACCACACTTAATTCTTTCTTCCCAATATCCTCCTCTCGCATCACTTTGCACTTATACTTGTGTCTCACTCACTCAGGTGTGACTGTGAACTCCGTGGACCCGGGTGTTGTATACACGGAGATCATGAAGCATTTCTCTTGGCCTTACCGCTTCCTTTTCTGGCTTGTCAGCTTCTTCATTAAGGTAGGTAAGGGAGGAGCTGGCTGGACCTGAAGTGGGTGGGACAGGGCTCTGCTTCTTGTGTGTCCTTAGCAGACTAAAGCCTAGCCGGCATGACCTTCTCTCCTTCTCCGTCATGTCTCCACAGGATCCCAAACAAGGTGCAGTCCCAGTCCTCTACTTGAGCTTGGCAAAGGAGCTGGATGGCATTTCTGGAAAATACTTTAGCAGTTCTTGTGTGATAAGTCCTCCCTCTAAAGCTGCTCAGGATCCTCAGGTGGCCCAAAGCCTCTGGAATGCCTCAGTCCAACTAACAAACCTAGACAAGATGGACTGATCCTCTGTGACCCTTGCCCTAACTTGCCACCTCCCGTCCGGCGCACCCCCCCCCTCCCCCCCCACCAGCCGACTTCTAGCCCTTAATCTGGTTATGCCTTTTGTTTGCTGGCTCCAAGGGTCAATCACCTAGTCCAGTATAATGGCCTCTTCCTTCTCCTGTTGACTCAGTGACATGAGAGCTCAGACTGGTCAGAGGACAGTTTCAGCTTCTACTTTATTGCCAGTTCTCCGATGGAGGTATTCATCCCGTGGGCACTAGGAATTCCAAACCTGCTGAGTCTCACTTTATGGTGACCGGGAGTAAAACTCCTTCCAGTGGGTATTAGGGGTACCGATAAGACAGGAAACTTCTGCCTGTTCTCTTGGTTCCCAGATGTGTGCTTCCTGGCTTTGAGGGAGAAAGTACCACATAGTGTCCTCGGCATTAAGGCATAAACCATGTCTTGCAGGACAACACGCCAACTTCACAGGGTGTTGTCTCCCAGCTGGCACTGTAACTGAGCCTGCAGATAATCATTCCACCTTTCCATCAACCAGCTGCTCCTGTGATGAGTCATGCAATAAGACCAGTGAATTCTGGGAGTGACAGCCCATTGCTTCTTTTCTGGGGTCTGTTCATCTACGTAAATTTTGGAATCAGCTCTTCAGATTTCACACACACACACAAATCCTGTTGGGAGTGTACTATATCCACTGGGAGGATTGACATTTTTATGATATTGAGTTTTCCTGACCATGAACAAGATATACTCATATCTAATTAAATCTGAATATCCTTACAAAATTTTAAAGAATTTTATCCATAAAGATCTTTCACAAGTTTTACTATACTTAATTTCAGCTACCTTCTTTTTTTTGCCGTTGTAACTGGTATTTTAAAATTTGTATATTGATCATATATCAAACAACTTTATTAAGTTATCTAACTCTAATAAGTTATCTGTAGATCCTTTTGGTTTCTCTACATAGAAAATCACACCATCTAGGAATAATAAGAGTTTTATGTCATCCCTTTCAATTATTATAACTTTTGTTTCTTTTTCTAGAAAACCTTAATAGATTTTCAAATATTAAACCAACTTTGTGTTTCTGGAATAAACCCAACTTGGTCATAATGTTATTTTTGTATACATTGCTAAATTAGCATACTCATGTTTTTGTTTAGAACTTTTTAAGTGTGTTCATAATGAGATAGGCATATACTTTTCCTTACTTCTACTGCCATTGTCTGGTCTTGCTGTCACGGATATAGTCATTTGATAAGATGAGTTGGGGATTTGTCTTAGTCTGGAGACATTACCCAAGAAGCAGATACCAAATTAGGATTAAATGTACAAGAAATTTGTTAGGAGAAATGGCTGTGAGAGAAAATGGGGAAGAAGCTGGGAGATCCACCAGAGTGTGATATGTCTGACCCACAGTGAAGGAGGGAGGGAAGGAAAGAGGATTGGTTGGGAGCATCTTAGAGTGAAGTGGGATGTTTTTTCCATTTTTAAACTTCCTATCTTGTTTTGAAAGTACACAATCTATTTCTTTCTTTAGTGGTTAGTCTAAAAATTCTAACCTGCATATTTAACTTAACAGTATCTCTAATCAATACCTTTATTCTTCTTTAAAATAATACATATATCTTAGAATTCTTTAACATTAATCATTCCTTTTGAACTTATATGCTTTTGTAACTCAGTATTTTAATTATTTCATTAATCTCACAAATCAGATATATTGTTATATTTTAAGTAGTCGATACTTGTGTAGATTTACCCATATGTTTAATATTCTCTTTGCTTGTTCTATTTTCTTATGTCTCAGATTTTCCATCTGGGATTATTTTCCTTCTACCTGAAGTGCATCCTTTAGAAGTTCCTTTAATAAGGATTTGTGGTAGACAGAATTCTAAGATGGCCCCAAGATTCCTACCCTCTTGTGTACATATTTTGTATAATCTCCTCCCCTTGAGTGTGAGCAGAAATAATGAATATGATGGAATTTCAGTCCTGTGATATGTCATGTACCTGGCAAAGGGATTTTCCTGATTTAATTAAGGCCTACAATCAGTTGAATTTGAGTTAATCAAAGGGGAGATTATTTTGAGTGGACCTGACCTAACCAGGCTAGCCTTTTTAAACAGTTCAAGCCTTCCCAGAAGTCAGAGAGCTTCTCCTGTTTACCATGAAGATGCAAACTGCTACAATGTGGAGAGCGCCACATGGCCTCTAGGCCTCTATGTCCCAAGGAACTGAATTCTGCCAATAACCAGTGACCTTGGAAGAAGGACCTGGAGCCCAGATGAGATTGCAGTTCTGGGTGACTCCTTGATTTCAGCCTGGTAAGACCCTGAGCAGAGGACCCAGCTAATGTGTACACAGACTCCTGACTCAGAAACTGTGAGATAATAAATGTATTCCTTTTGTGCCACTGAGTTTATAGTAATTTATTATGCAGAAAAACTAATGTGGGATCTAATGATAGTACACTTCCTCAGTTTTATTTCTTTGAAAATTTCTTTATTTCACATTCATTTTTGAGGGGTCATTTTTCTGGCTAAAGAATTATAGGTTGACAGTTATCTTCTCTTATCCTCTTAAAGATAACATTTCTTTATCTTCTGGCTTTCATTGTTGCTATTGAGAAATCAGATGTTAATCTAACAGTGACTTTGTAGGGAATCTGCTTTTTCTCTCTTGCTCCTTTCAAGAGTTTTAGCTTTGGGGTTGTTTTTCTACAGTTTCACTATTATTAATCCGGACGTGCCTTTCTTTTTGTTTATTCTGGTGGGAATCCCTTGGATTTCCTGAATCTGAAGATATACATGTATCCTGCATATCTCTTTAAATGCAGCCTCTCCTCCATTATCTTTCATCTCTCTTTATGGAATTGCAGTTAGATAAAGGCTGGGCCTTCTCACTTTATCTTTCATGTTTCTTAGCTTCTCTTTCACATTTTCCTTCTTCTTATATGTTAAAGCTGCATTTTGGTTCATTTTTTTTGGATCTGTTTTCCAATTTACTAATTCTCTCTTCAGCTATGACTAATATTTTGTTTATTCTATCAATAACTTTATATTACAATTATTATATTTTTATTACTATATTTTATAGTTGGTTGTTTTGCCAATCTACCTAGTCAATTTATATAATCTCTTGTTCCTTCCTTATATTTTAAATCCTCCTTTATGTTTTAAAAAACATATTAAACATATTCACTTTCTATACTGTAACTGAAAATTCAAATATCTGTAATATTTACAGGCTTGAATAGTTTATGGTAGCTTGTTTCTTTGTGTGTTTAGTGACTTTGATTTTATGTTCCTGGTTCTTGGAATTATAGCTGTAGGAATTATTTAAGGCCTGGAATTAAAGTACATTCTGCTAGAGAGGGTTTACATTAGTTTGGCCAGGTTCCCAGGAGTACTATACCAACTTGGGACCACTTTAAATTACACTTTTGTCTTGGGATTATTTTTGCCATTCATGTGGTATACATTCTGGCCCCAAACTTGTGTGAGTACAACTTATTATTTTGAATTACCAGAAAGTTTTTTTCCCACTACCCCCAGAACCAAGGATGAGATAGACTTTTATCCATACTGTTGCCCTCTATGAGGCACTGTTTTTAAGTTCACTCTCTGGGGGTGTTACTCTTTGAGTATCCTGGCTTTATGTGTAGGGGGATAGTTTTCCATTTCAACCATCTCTGCTCAACTCCAGATTTTGTCTTCTGTCTCTACTTATGGTCCTTTAAACCCAGGTTCCAGGCCACCAGGGGTTGGTTTAGCAAACACTGGCTTCATTGATCATCTGTGCCTTGGGATTCATAATTTCATGTCATCTCTAGCTTCTGGGGAATTCCCTTACTTTCCCACCAATTCATTCAGGACATACAAATAGATGTGTATGTGTGTTAAATGTTGCATGTAGCATTTTTCGTTGTACTATATCAGGTGGAGTTTCTGTGATATTTAGTCCTCTGTATTGCCAGAGATGGAAGCATCCAATTTCTTCTTCCCTCCCTTCCTTCTTTCTTTCCTTCCTTTGCATTTGGATAACCAATGGTCTCAGCACCATTTGTTGAATAGTGTGTCTTTCCCCCACTAATCAATAATACAAATTTTGTCATATGTCAAATTTTCATGTGTATGTGTGTTTATTTTAGGTCTAGACTCTTTTCTGTGCTAGTGGTCTACTTTTTGATCCTTACATCAATACCACATTGCCTTAATTACTATAACTTTAAAACAAGCACTGCTGCCCTCCCCAACTGTGTTCTTTTTCTTCAGGAGTTTCTTGGCTATTTTGTCCCTTTGCTTTTCTCTACAAATTTACTAATTTGTTGTCAAGCTTCTAGGATATCCAATAGGCTATTGATTGGGTTATTTCAAATATATAGATTAATATGGGATAACTATCTTCTTTATGACATTAAATCTTCCTGTTCACCAATGTGCTATAGCTCCCATTTATTTAGGCTCTTTACTGTCTTCAACATGATTTTATAATTTTGGAATGTGCACATATTTTGTTAAGTTTATTAGTAGATGCATCAGTTTCATTTAAAAAATTATATTATTTAACTTTTCATTGTTGGTTACAGAAATGCAATTGATTTTTTATATTGATTTTATATCTTGCCATGTTACTAAATATTTTTTATCAATTCTAATAATTTTCAGATTCTTTTGGCGCTTTTAAATATATCTCATCATATCATCTGTGAAAAATGACAGTTTAATTTCCTCCTTTCTAATTTTTATGCCTTTTACCTCTTTTTCTTACCTTATTGTAATGGCTGTGTGCTAAAATACCATGTTGGTTAGAATCAGAGATATTGGGCATCTTTGTATTTCTGATTTTAGAGAATCTAATGAGATCTTGTATTCCTTCAAGGGTCTGTATCTGTTTCAACAAAAACGTCTCCACATGTAAATATGGTTTTCCCCATGATTTCTACAGCAGAACTTGTGTGGTTCTAAGTCCCCACTGTAAGAGTGACTTTTCATAGTTGTTCTGGCTTATCCTACATTGTGGATCCTTCTTATTACAAAGTCTTCAAGGTCCCCTGAGGGACCATCCTCATGCTGTCCCTACCTCTACTTCAGAAAGAAATGGGGAACAGCAGGTCTGGCTCTCCGTGGGCCACCATGTCTCCTCACACTCTACCAGTGTGTGGTAACAAGCCAGGCAGTGGTAAATATACATTTGCTTCTTTCCTGAAAGACCAGACCCTCTCATGAAAGTATAATAAAGCAGGGGGAAGAAGGGTTGAAAGTCTATCTCCAGACTGTCCAATATGAAAGCCACTGGCCACATGTGGCAATTAAGTACTTGAAATATGGCTAATATGACTGAGGAACTGAATTTTAAATTTTATTTAATTTTAATTGTTACATTTAAGTTAAAAATGTATATTTCAATCTAGTTATTGGAAAACTTCTAATATGTTTGAAACAAGTTGTATACATAAATCTATTTCTTCAACTATAAATTGTGTGAAATCTAAACCAGCTCAAGTATTTCCAATGAAAATTTACCGTCTGAATAGAGATGTGCTGTAAGTGCAAAATACATACTGGATTTCAAAGACTTAGTACAAAAAAAGAACGTAAAGTATCTCATTAATATTTTTATATTTATTACATATTAAAATGATAATATTTTGAATATCTTGTTAAAATTAATTTCCATTGTTCCTTTGTACTTTTTAAAATGATAGCTACTAGAGAGTTTAAGATTATATATGTGGCTGGCTTATATAAAATTTAATTGTAATAACTTTTCCCCCAAAAAAATCTCTTTAAAATTTATTAGCCATCTCAATTCAAGACAATTTTAAAACTTATAGTTTATTTCTATTGGACAGTGCTGGTATAGCTAATCTAGATGCTTTTCTCGCCGGCATCTCTTCTCCCCCATAGCTGGCTTGGTCACCTTGATTTGTTCTCTCTTTTTTTTAAAAAGATTGGCACCTGGGCTAACATCTGTTATCAATCTTCTTTGTTTTTGTTTCTTCTTCTCCCTAAAGCCCCCCAGTACATAGTTGTATATTCTAGTTGTAGGTCCTTCAGGTTCTGCTATGTGGGGTGCTACCTCAGCATGGCTTGATGAGCTGCTAGGTCAGCACTCAGGAAGCTGAGTGGGCAAACTTGACCGATTGGCCACAGGGCGGACCCTTTGCTTTCTGTCTTTATCCAGTCCCCTCTCCAAGTCTCTCAGCCTGAAAACCACCTCCTCCCTCTAGGAAACTGCATTCTTTTTCTCAAGAGGAGGCTTTTCCCTCTCGGTTCCTTCCCATGTTCTGGGACGACTAGGATTCCACCCAGATGAGCAGAGATGTTCTTCTGTGTTCAGCATTACAGGTCGGGAGGATGGGATCCAGTCATGCAAATCAGAGTTTTGGGGTCCTAGGGGTCTTGTTCAGGTTCCTCATTACAGGGAGCCTCAGGCTGGCACCTATGAAAAAAACACATAGGACAAAGACAATACCAATCTTCCTTGAAGATCTCTCAGTCTAATCCAATGTAAAAGAAACAATATGTCTCTTATCAGACTCAGTGGGACCCCCTTTCATGGTGTGAAGAATCATTTGGGTCTTTTCTGTATCCCCACCCCCATTCTACTAGAGGCCTGGCAGCTTCACGTGAAAATTCAGCACATCTGTTAAAGGTTGTTAAAGCTACTTAGAAGGATGGCTCCAGAACAAATAAAAAATATACACTTAAAAAAATTTCAAGGCAGATCAATATGTGCTGATATGGACAACCACCAAGATATATTGTCCAGTGGGGCTATAAACAAGGTTCCAGAACAGTGTGTCTAGGAAGCTGCTGTTTGCATCTAAAATGCTTAAGTTTTCAGAGACTGATTCTGGAATAGCAAGCTAAAACTGGCATCAAAGAGTTGCTTTGGGTAGGGATCTTGGGGATGGGATGAGTGGGAGATGTATTTATGTTTAAAAAATATGTGCTTATTCACAGTAGCCAAAAGTAGAAACAACCCAACTGTCCATCAACGGCTGAACGGACAAACAAAATGGGGTGTATACCTACAATGGAATATTATTCAGCCTTAAAAGGAAGGAAATGCTGACACATGCTGCAACATGAATGAACCTTGAAGACGAAAGCCAGATACAAAGGGATAAATATTGTATGATTCTACTTGTATGAGGTACTTAGAACAGTCAAATTCACAGAGACAAAAAGTAGAACGCTTGATACCAGTGGGTAGGGTGAAGGGAGAAAAGAGAGTTAGCATTTAATGGGTACAGAGCTTCAGTATTGAATTAAAAATGGTTAAAATGGTAAATTTTATGTTATACATATTTTACCACAATAAAAACATGCATATGCAGTGCCCTTTAAAACCTTTGTGTTTATTTTTTATACCATTTCTTTTTAATTGAAGGGCATAGAAGCTATTTCCA